GGGGGCCGCCCTGTCCCGTCGATACCTGTCCCGGCGCAGGTCGATGCCGCGTTCAACCGGGCACCGCTAAAACCTCCCCGTCGACTTTTCCGTGCCGTTCCCCCCGCGCAGCACCCGCACGGGGCGTTTGTGTCCCCACATCCCCTTTCAGACGGGGCCGGTCTGCGCTGATGTTGCAACCAGAGGAGCGTGCGGGGGGACTCGGTGTCCCCGGAGGTTCCTGCAATCTCTTCCCTTTCTGAATTTCTCCCTCCCCGCAGCTGTAGCGGGACGAGGCGTTGGTGAACCCACTCGTTAGTCCGGGCCGTGGGTTGCGCCAGGAGCTTCTGCCCTCCCCGCTTCCCGCTGGGTTTGGGGGTGCCGCGGGGTCCGAGCCACTGGCCGGTGTCGCGGGGGCCAGCGGCTATCTTTAGGGCTGTGTTGCAAGGGAGGGGTGTGCCTTGGCTCGGCACTGCTGCCAGCCGCCGCCTCACCCCAGGATTGATTTTCGCCAAGGCTCCCTTGTGGGGAAGAGTCAACATTTGCGGGAGTGGGTGTTGGGGTGCCCTGTCCTCTGCGGGGTCCGTAGCGGGGCTGTGGGGCTGCTCTAAGGTCGGGCGGTGTTGGCAGCTGCCTGCAGCGGGGTCATTGCCAAGGCTGCTGGCTCGCCCTGCCAGCCCGGGCGGGCAGCGGGCAGGGGCTGACGTCAGGCAAGGTCAGGCTGCGCAGAGGCATGTGGGGAGCACCAACAGCCCCCCAACACCCTCGCCTGTGCTTGGCCACTGCCCAGCAGCGGGACCAGGTGGGCCGGAGCAAACGGGAAAGCTGATGGTGCAAATAAATCTCTGCTGCCCCACGGGAAAGGAGCTGCTCTGGGATGCAGAAGCAAGTTAGGTTCTTGCAAGGTGCACCCCAAAAGCTGCTCCACCCCTCTGCTGCTCCCTCCTTATGGCTTTAACTCCGGGAGAGCCGGGGTCAGGGCTGCCAGAGGCACCCCACACGCTCCCCTCCACATCCTCTTTCTGCCACAGGAACCTGGTTAGTCCGCGGGAGTAACTTGCACCCGCGCCAGAGCTTTGGGTGACACGGGACTGAGGTTCCCTCTTCTGCCTAATCCTTCCTCCGCTGTCGTACTAAATGTGCCTGTGGGTGATGCAGTGACACCGTGCCTGTCTCTGAGAGGAGGCAACGAAAACATGTGGAGCAATTTGTACCCCCCCGAGTGCGTGGCTCTTCTCTGAGCGCCGAGGCGTGCACAGACGTGGGTCCCCCCAGCTTGTGGCGGCGCTGGCACAGGCAGACCCTCCCATTTCTCGCCCAAAGCGGGGCATGTGCCGCTTCTGCGTGTCGTGATGGTAACGGCGAGTCAGCGGCAGCGAAAAAGTTCACCCGTGCATCAAACTGCTTCCCCGTGGTCGTGCTCAAGCTGTTCCGCGGGCGGCGGGGGCCTTCCCCATCGCTGCGCTTGGCTTTGCCTTGTGCCGAAAAGAAACTTCGGGCCTTCTCCAGAGGGTTTGAAACCCTGCCGAGGAGAGAAAGTGCCTTCTCATCCGCGGCGGCGCGGCTCTGCCCAGGCTCTCCTCCCCACGCGCAGGCTGGCAGGCGCTGGAATTGCCGGCAGCCGCATCTCTCCGCACCGCGTGTCCTCCCCGGGCTGGCACCGTCCTCTCGGAGCTGGCGGTGGGGGCAGATTGCTCGGAGGGTAAGCGAAGCGTCGGCCGTTCTCTGCAGATCTGTCACTGATTTCATATATAATGAAGTTTTTTCTGAGCTCCCTCCGCAGGCGTTCCCCGGCGAGGAGAGCAGCTGCAGACGGTCCCTACCCCAGAGGGCAGGTATCGTCCTTTCTGTGTTCCCAGCGGCGGGAAGAGGCTCGAGGCTGCAGTGGCTGGGAGTTTGGGGTCCATACTGGATCTTGGCTCTGCTGCGGGCCGGAGGGGTGGGAGCTGTCTGAGGTGTGATTCGGGTGGCGGGAGAGATTCACTCGTTGGTAGCCTGGAGATTTCTCTTCCAGTGGGCTGCCCAGGAAGGCTGGAGATGTGTTGGTTGTCCCTTTTATGCATTTTTATGCATTTTTCATTTCTTCATCTTTATGCATTTTCCTTTGAGCCAGGCTCAGTCAGGCTTCACGGGAGGGGCTGCAGTTGCCGGTGTGGGACCGCAGCCGGTGCGTGGGGACGACCCCTCTGAGCAGTCTCACGGGCTGGGTGCTCCGCCGAGGCCGTGGTGTGCTGGTGGCTCTCGGGGTCCCTCACGCCGGGAGGTTGGGGCTGTGCTGAGCCGTGCGGGGCCATCCCCGGCCGAGGAGGTGGTGAGCACAGCCGGGCTGGGCTGGTGGACCGGCCGGCCTGCGCGTGTGTCCCCACTAGAGGCTGCTGATGATCAGAGCATTTTTCTTTCCCTGGCTCTGACAGAGCAGCGGGGTCTTGAATTTGCAGGGCTGAGCATCCCAGCCTGAGCTTTTCCTGCTGATTCACCCTGGAGACAGCAGCGGGCTTCCCCCGGCAGCACCCGGGTTCAGGGGGCACATCTGCTCCCCTGCCAGGCCCACAATAGATCTCCCCGCTTCATTAGGTCTTAATTAGGCAAATGCAGCAGGACTGTGCGAGGCCACTGCCAGGGGACACGGATTGTGCATGGAGCCGCGCACTGGGGGTAGCAGCTCCCCTCCCGCCTGCCTCGGGGGTGCCGACGGGGCTCCTGAGAATTAGTACGGGACATTAGTTTATATATACATAAATGACATGTATTTATTAGATTTTCTGGAAAGAAGTGTCTTATGATAATGAGTTCCTGGAATTCATTTATATAGTCTGAGTATGCAGAGTAAAGGTAGAGTGAGGGTCTTCGGTGGTTAAGAGCAGATTAAGTCGTCTTCTTCACGGTGTTTGACTCTCTTTCCAAAGTGGGTGTTGTGAAGTCAAGTCTAGGTGCGTTCTTAAGTCAGTATTCCCTATAATAGAGTCTCTGTGTCCCTTTGTTCGAGTCCCCTTTATCTTTGTTTTTTTTTTTTTTTTATTCTAGGAGTTGTCCAAGTGTCTATCAAAGGCCTTGAGTTTGCTATCAGTGATTTATGTAGGGAGCCTAACAAGCATTTAAATTTTATTTAAATAGACAAAGAGGCTTCAGGAAACAGTTGAAACGAAGCGAAACACAAGCAGAGCTTTGAAACAAATGAAGTAAAACACAAGCAAAGCTTTCATACGTCACAGTTTAGTCTTAATAATTGTCAGAAATTCGTTTGAGCCCTTTCAGCGGGATGAGTTCAGCCTCTCACTGTTTTCCCGGAGGATGTGTGCGCAGCGGTAGCTGCTTCAGCCCTCTGGCATATCCCAGCTGGCAGAGAAGCCAAAGATTAGTTAAGTGATGGAAGGACACTTCACTGCTGGGCGCAGTGTCACGATAAAGCCACCCTGTAGACACAACAGAGACTCTGCTTCCAGGGCAGCTGGTTTAGCACTGATCGCCTGGGCAGGATGGTCGTCTGGAAAAACAAACCCAGACCCTGGGAAGATGATTAATCACATAACAATTAGGTGTAAAATGAAGGGCAGTTGCTGCTTCATGGCAATAGCTGCAGTGGAAGGTGCCTGGGAAGGAATTTGTGGTGTTGCACAAGCCCCCGGTGCCTCGGTACAGGCAGTGCCGGGAGGGCAGCGCGGTGCCAGCTGGCTCCGGCACCCAGCAGGCAGCGAGGCTTCCCCACAATGGCAGAGCGGCGCTTTACATAATCTGGGACTTGCAAAACAAGCTTGAAGGTCTGGAAAATCCTCCTGCTATTGTTGGTGCTCAGAGTTTGCGGAATTTCCTGGTTTGATCTGCGGGTCTGGTTTTTGTTTTGGGGTGGCAGTGGGGAAAAATGCACTTTGCACAGAGAAAAGAAAAGGGTGTTCGTGGGGTTTAATCCATGCCCGCTCCTTAGACGAAACTATTTTTGTGGTTCACAAGAGGTTTTGAGCAGCTGCCTGCAGCTTTATAGGTCTGTGGAGGACTCTTCTATCCAATTAGCATGGTTTGTCTCTAGTCCTCTCCTGATGCCCCCCGAGAAAATCCTGAAATATCAGCCGTGCAGGCCTGGGGCGTTGTGGGCAGAGCACACACAGGCACCATCTGGGCACCTGGCCCCAGTGTCTGCTCAGGGACAGCACACGTCGGGCCGAAATGGCTTTGTGTTGTCTGAGCCTCATGTGAGTTGGACCCTGCCGCTGTGGGAAGGCTCGGAAGCTGCCTCTCACTTGCAGATTTTTAGGAGGAGATGCTGGAAGGGAGCTTGGGTCGTCTTGTTTTGCTGTGCCTCTTAGGCTGGCAGTGTGAGGTTCATGGTTGGACTAGATGATCTTCAGGTTCTTTTCCAACTTTGACAATTCTGTGACTGCTGCCACTTCCTGCAGCTTGGTGATTTAGAGGCAGCTGGAAAAAGGCACCCAGGAGGATGCTGAGGCTGTCGGGAACCACCCAGCCCCACACCGGCCTGCGGGCTCAGCAGCAGCGTGTTGCTTGGCCCCGGGAGGTGTTTTGGGGTGTAGGGTTTGCCCTTGCTCTTCCAATTGCTCATCCCAAAGCCTTTTGCCAACACAACTAAAGCCTCTGTCACCCTGTGTGCAACTTAATTAAATGAATGAATCCTGTTAAAATGTTCTCTGCTCCTGTTTGTGAATAGGTAACTAAGAAACCTGCCTCTTCCTGCGGTTGCTGGGAGAGCTGGGTTTGGTAGCAAGGAATGAGGTTAAATTCTTGCTGGTCCACTTCATGCGAGGCAAATTTTTGGCACCCCGGTAAGCAGCAAAAGAGGAGGAGGAACACTGGTCTGATGGCACAAATACATCCTCTTATTAGAGGCTCCTTTC